TTTATTGGCAGTTAAAAAACCCCTAGTCATTTAAATAAAAAAAAATAGTCCTCACAGTATCTCAAATAATTAAGTGTCTAAAGTAGGCTTAAGTTTCCTTCCACTTCCCGTAAGTACACTCCTGAGTGTTTGTCCACTTTTAACAATTTCGTGTTTGGCATTCATACTTTTTGCTTTGTCCATCCAAATCCCAAACAGATGTGTACAACTACATAGGATTTCTCTCTTTCTCTCTTCTTAGTTCCCCTTTTCTCTCCCTTCATTTCTTTTTTCTTCCAAATAAAAATTCCATCATACCGTACATATACATATTATTCTCTAACTTGCTCTTCAGTTAACAATATATCGAATCTATACTTTCAGACCAATGCATATAAATCTATATGATTATTTTAACAGCTGTATAGTATTCCACGATAAGGAACTATTCTGTGTTGAAGTGTGTTTAGGTTCCTTTGATTAGGTTGGACCACATAAGACTCGTATCTGTAGGTTTTTGTGTGTGTGTGTGTGTGTGTGTGTTTATTTTCTAGTGCAAACAATATTAATAAATATCTGGGTACACATACCTCTACAGAATTTTGTTTTTGTGGATAAGAAGATGTGGGACTTTTGTTTAAAAAGTGTGTTTATTCTACTCACTGGAAGTAGGTGGCTCTCCTAAAATACTGGTGTAATGTATGGTCCCAGCAATGACCTTTAGGAAAATTATGCCACAGTGGCCCTTTTTCCAGGGCTTCTCCTAGAGGACTTCTCCCCAGTTCCTTGTATTTGTCATCATTGACCACACCTTCTCTCGTGGCACCACTTTACACCTGTTTTCCCCTGTCTCTTCTCTTCTCATCTTCTGTTTGTGCCTAGATATTTGTGTACCACCTGGTTCTGCCCTAGCTTACTTCTCTAGCCACACTACATGCTCTGTTCTCCTATTAGGTAAGTTCAAGGTTTCAACAACAGTCTCTACCTACTCTCAACCTACCAGTGAGGTAGCGCAAAGGTCACTTCACCTGAGTTAGAATAGGATTTCCCTTCCTGAAGACATCACACTGTCATTGTCCAGAAAAGTGTGGTAATTACTATTCAATCACTGTTCAATATTCTACAATATGTGCCCTGGATTGTGTCCCCTGGTATACAAGCTCCACAATCCTCATTGATAGCTGTATTTACCATTTTTCTCCTGATTTCAAACTTCTATATCAGACTGTCCAGTGAACATCTCTAGATGGGTGTTTTATAGATGCTGCCAATATAAAAACCCTTCTTGAAATACTTATGCATTTTTCGTAGTAAATGAGACTTCCATTCACTGGGGTGCACAATTCAGAAACTAGAAAATGCATTCTAGATTTCTCTCTCTCTCTCCCTCCATCCTTCCCTCTCTCTGTCAATTCACACCCAATAGGTTACTAAGTCCTGCTGTTTTGATTTCATATTCCTGAAATCCATTATTTCTTTTTAGTCCCCAGTGCTGCTGTCCTGACCGTTCTTTTTGTAGACAAAAAATAACTTCCCACCAGTCTTCTTATTTTCTGCCTTGCCTCCCTTCTATTATCCACACTGCTGCCAGAGAATTTATCTAACATGCAAATCAGGGAGAAAAACCTTTAATGTCCACATTGTTAAGAGGCTAAAATCTAAACTTTTTAGCATTACTTTAATAAGAAGTTCTTTATTATCCAATGCTACTGACATGCCTTGACTCATTTTCTGACATTCTCTAAGAGCAACTTATGCTTCAGCTATATGGGTCTACTTTCCCATCCCAGGTGCTGAGAGCTCTCTAATAATTCAGTGCCTTTGCACAAGGCATCCTTCTGCTTGGAACGCCTTGCCTTGTTAGCCTGAAAAACACTTATATGTGAAGCCTCAGCTCTAGGGTTATTTTCCCTTCTGTAAAATTTTCAGGCAGACTTAAAGGCTTCTGCACTTGAGTTCCTTATTAATGTGGTACACTCTTGCACTATAGCTATGTTAACATTTAAATTATTTGTTATATTAATTAATGCTTCCAAACTAGGTCGTAAGCTCCTTGAGGGTAGGGACTATGATTAATTTCCCATTTGCATCCTTAGCACTTTACTGTAGTTTGCTTTGTATAATGTGCACCCACATTTTTGGCCTAAATTTTCAGGAAAAAAATCTTTTGTTTTAGTTTTTTTAATTCAATTTTTTTGTCTATTTATATTTAGAAATGAAACCAATTATCAAATTCCAAGGTATTATTTTGCATAGTTATTGTTATTTTCTAGAGTTACACTTTTAGTGCATAAGCATAAATAAAATAATTAAAGACATTTATATAGATACAGAATTAGTACTACTGTTGCACTAATGTATAATGCACATCCTTATTTTGCCCTAAAAATTTTGGGTCAAAAAGTGCACATTTACATGACAAAATATGGTAACATAGTGACTGGTATTGACTATTTAATAGGTGCTTGAATAAATGCAAAAACAAATTAGCTGAGTAGTGAGAAGAATAGTGTCCAGACTAAGACTTAAGCTTAAACTATAGATTTGTACTTAAGTAATTTTAAAAAACTGTAAAAGAGTATATTTACCCTTTCAACATTCTAATGCTTGTTTTAGTGCATTTACTTTCAGTCTTTGCTCAAATATTTGAGATTTATATATTTTATATGTCCATGTATATGAGATATTTTTATATGACAATATATGAGATATGATGTGTTGATACACGTATATACTTATATTTTACATAGCGGTAATTAGAATGTACATGCACTTTTACCTGCTTTTAACTTTAGCTAACTTTAAACATTTTCTAACACTGTTGCATCGTCTTACAAAACATCATTTTTCAGCATTATATTTCATTCCGTTACTTAGATGATAGCCTAAAGAAATTTATGCCATACTCAGTTTTCTATTATAAACAGAAACAGATTCAGGTTTTGTGAAATTGATACAATTTTGAGGGATGTTTTTTAAAAAATACAAAATTAATCTTACTTTTGCAAATAGGACCACGTGACCAGAATGTTAGGGTCCTTCCCTGGGCTTTAGAAGGGGCTTGGCAAAGTGAGAAGTCCTAAAGAGTAAGTTTCATTGGCTTCACTATCATCTACGTGTAGCTTCAATGATAAATAATTCTGCAGTAAACATTTTGAACATGCAATTTTTCTCTTTTTGATTATTTCCCAAGATTCCAAGTTACTATGACACCATTCACCTTAAAGGAGTTGAGAAAGAAAGGAAATGATTATATGTTGAACAGTTTATATATATTATTTAATTTAATACCTCTTACAAACCTGAAGGAGGCATTATCCCTGTTTTACAGAGGAGAAAATTGAGGTGTGGTGCATTTAAATGTCACACCTAAAGTCGCACATCTAGTTACTGGTAGGGTTTGGATCCTCACCCGTGTCTCATTCCAGAGCTCATGCCTTTGTCATGACATCATGATGTCTACACAACCTCATTAGTTTTACAGTAATACAACCCCTGCTATTGCTGAAGGACATGGTTCTCATTTATGTGTTTTGAGGAGGCCAGAATACAAAGTCTGCAGAGTACTGACATAGTTTTTCTAAGAAGGTAATTTAAATCAACAGTGGCTAGACTTTCATAAGTGAATTTAGGAGAAAGTGATTTAGCTCTCTCTGCCTTCCTACCTTACGGACACGCATTGCTCTGGTTCAGCATACATTTCTTGGAAGCAGGCCTGTGAAGTCAGAAGTGGAATTGGGTTTGGGTCCTGCTGTTCAGTAGTTGAGTGGCCTTGGACAAGTCATTGAACTCCTCAGGTTCTCACTTTCCTCCTTTATGCAATGAGGATAGTAACAAGCTGTGTTATCCCAGGGTAATTTTAAGTGTCAAATATGACAATGTGTGGGTAAGCACTTGGTGAAATGTCACTGAGATACCAGTAACATTCCTGGAGCAGCTCCACTTCTTCGCCTGCGTGCCCCCAGGTGAGGGCGTGTGACAGCTGGGCAGAATGGAACTGATGGCTCCATTATAGTTAACTCTTGGAGAGCCCTCATAGTCTGCGGCAGCCACGTAATTTTCAGGGACTGTGTCGATACTCTTGAATGCCTAGTACAGTGCAAAGCAAGTCTGAGATTCTGGGGAATTCTTTCCTCCTCAAGCTGAGAACTAATCATCAAAATATGCAAACATTCATTATAAATGCAACTTGTAAAATTCCAGATACAGTCCTGTCCAATTGTCCCTTTGCTCTGTCTTAGGTGCTGACGCATTTATCTTGCAATTTTATCTGCCAGGTTAGAAATCTTTAGTTCTGGCCTGACTTAATTCTGGAGCCAGTCTGTAGTTCTGGGAAGCCAGGAGAAAATACAGATCTTAGTTTGAATTCTTGTTTGAACATCCTTCACGAGATCCACGTTTAAATCTGGTGTAAGTACTACTGCCTTTTATTTTCCTTAAAAAACAAACCGCTAAAACCTGGGTACTCAATCCTGAAGATTGAGCTCACCACCCTGAGCCACGATCCGCGCGGCTCCCCGATCGTGGACCTGAACCTCAGCCGCCCCTAACCTGCCGGCCCCCAAAACCCCTGGCCCAGGTGGCAACCGGCTTGGACTGCAAACTCCACCTGACTCGGCCAGCGGCAGCCGCACAAAGAGCAGAGCAGGCGGCTGCCCGGCGGAGCCGCAGAAAGTAGTCCCGACCACGCCGGCTCCAATGTTGTTCGACGTCTTTTCACGCCCTCCGCAGGGCGGACCGAAGCCGCTGGCCCAGGAAAGAATCCCATTGGAATGCGTCGCTAGGTGGCCTTTCTCTTCCAACTCCTTTCTGCTCGCGGGGCAGACACCCCGGGGTCTCCAAGCAGAGACCTTGCGTGCGACCCCCACTTCTTTTCATAACTGCAAAGGAGGCGGCGCCGAGGAAGGGGGTTCGGAAGCGCGCAGGAAGACCTTGGCGAAGATCAGTAGTGGCGGCGGCGGGAGGACCGTATCCCTGCGCCGCTGCGTGAGAGGAAGAGGCTGAATGAGGAACTGCGCGGGGGAAGCGGGTCGCCGGGGGAGGAGGCGGCGGGATGGAAGCAGACGCTGGCGTCGCGCGAGCCCCGGCCAGGGCGGCGCGGTAGAGAGGGCGGCGGCGCGCGCGGAGCCTTGACGTGCGCCTTTCTTTCTTCTCTCTCTGGCAAGCTGGGAAGCATGAGCGTGCAGACCTGCTGCTGCGGCGGCCGCCCCGGCTCCTTGCCTCCCCGTTTTCTGGCCGCCCCTCGCCGGTGAGAGAAGAGAACGCGAGAAGGGAAGATGGGGGCCGTCCTGAGGAGCCTCCTGGCCTGCAGTTTCTGCGTGCTTCTGAGAGGTAGGAAGAGTGGAGGGGACGGGAAAGTTGGTGGGGTTTTGGGGGGGAGGTGGCCTTGTTTTGTGTGTGTCTGGGGGGGAGGGGAGGGAGGGAGAAAAAGGGGAATAGGAGCAAGGAGAGGCCTGGTCGTGGGGAAGGAGAGAGAAGGGGCCGGGAGAAGGGGCCGGGCGCCCTGCCTGGCCACAATGCAGACCCCTGCCTAGGTTTCCGGACCGTATCTGGGCAGATAGTAGCCTCAGTCCGGTTGCTGGGCTCAGTGAACCCCTGCAGCACCATGCTGTCGGAATGACTGTGTGTCTCTTTCTGTCTGGAGTCGTCAGGGAGAAGGATCTTTGTATGTATTTGGGCTTTTAGAATATTCGAGCCCAAGATGCTTTCACGTTGGTCTCCCTCGAAGCCCCCACTTTTCTGTGTCTTTCACGTGAACTTTTAGAGCCCTCTTACTATTTTTCCAGGCCGTGCTACAACTAATAATTGGCTTCTGTGGGGGATATAATAATCCTGGGAGAGAACACAGTTGGAAAGTGACTCCGAGGTTGTAGGTCGAGCAATTCAGCACTGGGAATCTTCTGAACTTCAGCCCATAATAAAATGGAAACGTTGACCTTTCCCTATTTTGGGAGCATGCAAGTGTACAGTTGGCATCCTGGTGTGAAAAGGAGCCTGTCTTTGGGACCTACGTTATCATTTGCTGCGCTCCCCAGGGGACTGCTTGGCACTTGGGTAAATAACCTAGGCTATTCTAGATGATTTGCTCTAAGAATCTCATGCGGTTGCTGGTCCTGTGGTTTTTTGAATCGTCCTACAAAGCTGTCACTTACGCTGTGACTTCTGTTTTGTGACAGTTCACTAAGATTTGACCGGCCCGCAGGATTTCAATACCTTCTCTCAAACTTAGCCGTTCGTGTTGAAACGGCGATGAGTCTGAGGCTCTTGAGCCAGCAGAGGAATTGAAGTCCTGATTGATGCGATGGCCTGTAGCCTTGGTTTTGTTAAGATTCTCGCTTGTATTCATGGTCAGTTCTTTTCAGGCATGGGACCTCTTGAGTCAGTGGAGATTTTTAGTTATTAATTTAACAAGCTGAACTTTTGGTAAGCCTCCAAAACTTAACTGAAGTGCAGAACACAATAGTAACTAACGATCTTAAGATATAAATGAGCCAGGTGTGCCATTCCTGTGTGTGCATACTAATTTTGTATGAACACAAGTGACCTTTTTCTTTTTCTTTTTTTTTGAGGGAGAATTTTTTTCTTTACTCTTCTGTAGGATTATTATGTTTCCATGTTATATCTACTTATACTTAATAATGAGGACTCATTAAGCATATTCCAAACTGTTTCCACATGTAAACCCCAGAAAGATAATGCTCATTTAATTTTCTTGGCAGAGGATTTAATGAGGTGTTATGTACTTGAGAGGTTTAATAAGTGTATGTTTTGTATAGTATACTCCCTATTGAAAGGGGGTTTTGCCATAGCTGTGAGAAACAATTATATTTGACATCACATGTGTGGATATTTTAAGACAAAGTTACTAATGTTGACAAATATGGGAGTCTGCTGGGAGGTTAAAGTCTTGAGGAAATCTAAATCTATAACCCAGGATGCTTCTGGTTGCCTAGCTGTATTTCTTGAAGGGGGAGCATGTGATGTAAATGGCATTAATTTATTTTAACATCAAGTTTGGCCTAGAATTGGGTTTGTTCATTACCAGAGTTAAGATAAGTTGCACTTCAATTAATATTTTTGAAGTGTGGTAGTATTGTAACAAGACCTAATAGTTAATGGTTTAAATGGCCTCATTTCCACTAAGTGGAGTTTTCATTTTAAATGTAGCATAATAATGGTCTTTGAATTTAACAGCACTTGACTGTGAATACATATTATTTGAACTAAAACTGCCTTTTGATGTGGAAGATTTTTATTCATAATTTGGATTCTTTTCATTCTTCGAAAATGTCATCTTCTGTTATAATAGTGATATTAGTTAACCTGAGGCTCCAAGGAGAAAAATGTAATTGATTTGTTGAATTAAGGACATTTTTCTGCCCTGACCAGTGTGGCTTGGTTGGGCGTTGTCCCTCAAAGTGAAAGGTCACCCGGTTAGATTCCATGTCAGGACACCTGCAGGGGTTACGGATTTGGTCTGTAGTTGGGGTAAGTACTAGAGGCACCTACCTGATTGATCTTTTTCTCTCACATCTGTCTCTCTCTCACAGTGATGTTTCTCTCCCTTCTCTGTCTAAAAATAAATAAAGTCTTTAAAAAAGACGTTTTTCTTTATAGAAGAGTCAGAGCTTTAACATTTGGAAAATGGGATGAGGAGAGATTTTGGGAGAACCTTTGTCCTGTAGCTCTGTTACATCAATAGCTGAAAGTTGGGAAATAATACTGTCATCATCTAGACTGCATTTCCATCCCTGTCACTGGAGGTGTAATGGAAAGAATTAGAGATTTTAATACTAAAATTTTGGATTTAAACTCCACCTTTCACTACTTAATAACTTTGTGTTTCTAGTCTAGTCAGTCAGTTTCTCTGGGCCTCAGTGTCTTTACCTGCAAAATGTAGGTAGTAATATTGCTCTAATTTGCCATTTTATTGGGCATATTAAATGAAGTAATGAGTATGAAGTAATAGTGGGGATTGAAACCCACCTCACCATTCTTTTTACATAGTTTCTGTTAACTGCTGACTCCAGTATGTGGCTTGTAGATAAACAACATGTTTATATAAGAATCCTAGGAACTAACTTAAAAGGATACAGACTCCAATCTTCAGGCATCCCACCGCCGGAGATTTGCTGACCTTCAGCTGTGGAGCCAGGATGACTAACCCAGGATGATGCACACCAGACCATCACTTGCCTTGTTGGAATGAAGTGCTCGTCTGCACGAAGAGAACTTTTCACCCCCCTCCCTCGATCTCTTTGTTCTGTTATTCTGTCCCTCCTCATAAAAACTTCTGCCTGCACTGAGATGTTAAGATGGGCTTTGAGACAAGAGTCCCCCATCTTCCCAGAAGATGAGCTTTAGGACATGAGTCCCCCATCTTCTAGGTTGTCGGCACCTGAAAGTAAACCACTTTTCTTTACATCAGCATCTGCCTCTCATGTATTGGCTTTTGAAGAGGCAGGACAGACCTGCTTTTGGTTACAAAGTGACCTGCCAATGTCCTTTTTTTGTTGTAATTTTTTGATTGTGGACATGTTCACAAATGCTGGGGATTTGAGATTTAATTTGTGTAAGAGTCATGAATTCTTAAAGGTAGAAAAGATCTTGATCATTTTGGTTAACTGCTTTATTTGCAAGTGGGGAAACTTGGATTCAGAGAGATTATAATTTGAGCAATAACCTAATGCTAATTAATGGTAGAGCGGGGATTTATTTTTCATTCTTTCAGCAAATACAGGGTGGGGCAAAAGTAGGTTTACAGTTGTGAGTATGCAAAGCAGAATTTATTCTTGTTTTATTATTTATTAATTATTGTATTTCCATACAACCATAAACCTACTTTTACCTCATTCTGAATGTATGGAATACCTACTATACACTAGGGCTCTGGTATATTTGTGAGCAAAATAGACATGGTTGCTGCTCTGATGGACCTCATAATCTAAGTTGTCATTTTTTACCATTCTCTTAATTCCATCCAGGTACTGATTAGAAAAGATTATATCTCTGATTGTCTAGAGGAAATATTTCTATAAGAATATATGTTTTGGAATATTCTGTGTGTGTGTAATCTGTAAATACCATGTCCCAGCTTACTTTGAGGAAACTCTGTTTTATAAAAATTCTTTGCTACTTATTTTGGTGGGGTGGTGGTAAATATGTCAGGACAAGACACTATTGTTTCCCAAGTTATATTTTTATGGAACTGACCCTTGTAAAAAATTTTAAAAATAATACCAGGACCTTGGCTGGTGTAGCTCAGCGAATTGAGCACAGGCTGTGAACCAAAGCGTTGCAGATTCGATTCCCAGTCAGGGCACATGCCTGGATTGCAGGCCAGGTCCCCAGTGGGGGCCATGTGAGAGGCAACCACACATTGATATTTTTCTCCCTCTCTCCCTCCCTTCCCATCTCTAAAAAGAAAAAAAAATAAAGCCTTTATAAATAATAATAGCAGATATGATATAGTCTTGGGGAGGTAGAATAAATTTTGGAGTGGGAATCAAAAGAATTAGATTCTCATTTTAAGTTTGCTATTAGTTAGCTGTTCGACCTTGGATAAATCACTTAATCTCTGTACACCTTATCTTTATTAGGGTAATGGAACTTTCTTTTGGAGATTCGTAATTTATATTTACACATTAAGGACTCAGACATCCCCAGGCAGAAAGACCAATTTAATAACTTTGTTAAACCCACTATTTCTCAAACTTGACAATGACTTTTTTTTCATATTCTTTTAATATTCTGCTGACCCTTTGTTCCAAGCAACACACTTGAAGGGAACCTTGACTAGATAACTCTTCAGGCATTGAGTTGATTTGTGTGAATTGATACTTGACTACAGTTACATATACAGTAGTTGAATATGGTATTTTCATTGTTACTTAACCTAAGGTTTGTGCATCTGGCTAGAGAATAATTTGAGTGATTTTGAAATTTAATGTTTCAGGCCTAACAGTGATTTCCCCTGGTTCAGGTTTTTTTTTTGTTTTTTTTTGCTTTAATTGGAGGTTTTTCTATTTGCTCAACTGAAATACTATTTTTATATAGTTATATATGCTTTGGTTATCAGAAATGACGGTCTTTTTTTGACTACCAAAAAAGATTCTATTGAAAGGTATATAAATGGAAAATATTTATATGAACTTATAATTTGAACATATTGGAAAAATAGCACAGGTTATAGTTTCGTTTAGGCCACAGGTAACTATGAGAAAATCTATTTCCATCATAGAAATTTTATTGCAAACTTATATTCAGAGAAGATTATAAAGGGGGACACTGTGTTAGAAAGGTATGGGCTTTGTTGACAAACAAACCAAGTT